GATGGATTTCTTTCATTCCTTTAAAGAATGCAACTGCAGATGTAGTATCTAAAGCATTCATGGATAATTGGATTTGTTTATATGGAGCCCCTAAAATAATACTCACTGATAGAGAAACTAATTTCTTGTCTGCCATTTTCAAGGAATTAGCAACTGCATTAGGAAGTAATGCAAGAACCACCACAGCCTATCACCCACAGGCTAATGGAAAAAATGAGAGATCACACAAGGAACTACATGAATACTTAGCTATTCATCTAGATCCCAATAACAGAAACAAGTGGGACCAATTGATAAAATTGGCTGGTTGGGTACACAACTCATCAAAGCATGAGTCCATACAGATGTCCCCATATGAATTGATCATGGGACAAAAACCAAATGTAAATTGGGTCCCATGGGATCTATCAGATACAGACAATTATGAAAAAAAATTGAAGACTTCATACAGAGTAAGAAGCAACACATTTCAGAACTAAGAGAGAAGGCTAAATTCATAATAGAGAAAAGACAAGAAGCCTATCTCTCCAGAATAAACAGGAGCACAAAAGCTCCATCATACAAAATTGATGATCTTGTCCTTTTGAGGACTCATGATTATTTCACTTATGTAGGAAGAAAGTGGTCACCCAAGTACAAAGGACCTTACATAATCACACAAGTAATCAATCCTGTTTCATTCAGGATAAAAGACCCCAAGTCTGGATGGAATGACATAGTCCATTCCAGTTATTTGCGCCCATACAACACCACAAATGATTTCAGTAAAGAAGATGAGGAAATACCAGATTCACTGATTGTGAATCCACCAAGTCATGCCTCAGAAGTAACTATCAACAAAGGTCCTCAGATTCCCTCTCTTGACATTGTTGAGGAGCAAGAGGAACCAGTAATAATTCCCCCCAAAGAACTCAAGATACACTTGAAACCCTTTTCAGTAACACAACCTCCAGTTGTTTCAGTGGAAAAAGAAATTGTCACTGAAAACAATCAGGAGATTGGTCAACCACAAGTTGACCCAGTAGCAATGCCACCCACAGTACAGACACCTGTAAAAGTACAAGAGCAGATCAAAACCCCTTCTGCTCCCATGAAAAAGGTAAGTCCTATAGCTGCAATAGTTAAAAGATTTTATAAAGGTGCTCAGGAATTCTTTGAAGGCTTGACTGATACTATTGGTGAAGATTTTGTAGATACAGATTCTCCATTCAGAAGCAGCTTTGCCCCTGACAAGAGGAGTTCTCTCCTGCCAACCAAAACAGGAAGACAACCCTATGGATCAAGAGCCCTAGGAGGGATCAACCCAGCAAATGTCCTTGGACCAAGAAATAGACAAGCAAATCAGAAGAAAGAAGCCACCCAGGAACTAGAAGAAAGGCAAAGGGAGTAAAGACAAAGGATCCTGGATGAGAAGAGAGCTGTTGAAGACCTTGATACTTCATTTGAAGAAGAATCAGTAAGTCCTGACAAGTAAGAAAAGTACTGCAATAATCAAAAGAATCAATCATGCAGTTTAAACTGATGTTGATTTTTCTTTTCTTAGTAAAAATAAATGCAATAGTAATTGAAGAATTCCTTGAAGAGAAAGGAATAGTTGGAACAGACAAAAGATCCAATAAATTATCTCCCATCAGAAACTTTGTTGGAAATAAAGGAATAACTTTCTCTGTTATCCCCCCCCCCCATTTGTATTCCTGAAATTAAATGGACAATTCAGAGTGCTATCAGCATTGGATCTTATCAATTCAAAGCCAAGTTGATATATACTCTGGTTAATGACTATCTCACTAAAGTTTTGACACTTGGAGGACATGTGCCTAAAACTGCTAAAGGATTGAAACTAGCTTCTCAACAGCTAGAAAAATTGAGTAAGACATTACTAGAGAAAGCCTTGCTTCACAATAAGGTTCCCTCTAGAATGTTTTCTTATATTTCTCCAAAAACTCTTTTAAGTAAAATTGCTGATGTTCCTTTGGAATCAAAAACTAGTTTTGATACCAAAAGAGCATATGTGAAACCCACTCCAACTGATGATTTGTTCAGGAAGTTACATACCTCCCTGGCTACAACAATAGCCACAAATTCATCAATTAAAGATACCCTTAATGACACAGATTATGAGATCATAACCCTGAGTATAACCACACAGATTATTTCAATTAACAGAGTCCTTCAGGATATCTTGAATGAAATTGATAAGAGAAATGATTTGAGATTTCCTACAGGACTCATATCCATTAATAGCACAAGAAATTCCCTGAAAACTTTCTTATCAGCTTCAGGAAGCATTTTGTCTGAAAATGAACTAATTGAAATAATCTACACTAATCCACTCACCCTTAGCACTTTCCAGAATTGCCATGATTCCAATTCTACAGAAGAACTAACTTTGCAATGTGTATATCACATAATTGCAATTGTCCCAATTTTGACATATGCATCTTTCTTCAATTTATTAAAAGTACATTCAGTGCCAATAGCTGAAAGTACTTATCTTGGTGCTCCCAAGTGGAAGCAAGTAAAACAAAAAGATTCATTTGTATTAATGAATTCAAATAAAGTATATGGATTACAATTGCATGAAATGCCTAATTGTATCCATTCACTAGACTTCTACTTTTGTCAGTTATGTAAATTACAATCAGTCCCAAGTAAATTAGCTGACCCCTGCATAACTTCAATTCTGAAAAAAGAATCAGAAAGTGAAGTTATTAGTAGATGTGCCTTGGAAAAAGTAAAGGCCCCAGCAAACACTTTCTCAAGACTTGATGAGGATGAGTTTGCTTACACTAACATTAACAATGGTAGAATAACACAGTATTTTACTGACCAAGGAAGTGGACCAACTCAGAATTCTTATGAGTTGCCACATTCTGGTATTCTACAGTTCCACAACTCCTGTAAGTACACATTGATAAATATACCCTTTTCTGACCTGGTCCCAAGCATAGAAATCAAAGGAGTTGAATTAACTGCAGTAACTGAAGTAAATGAAGAGAAAAATGAAAGAAAAATAATTGAGGATATTAATGATATCCAAATTCATTTCAGAGACTTTGGATTTTTCTATGTTATTGGCCTTCTGATAACATCAATAATAATAATAACATGTCTTGCTTGTTTTTGCTATGCAAAAATCAAAGTATACATGGCCAGAAGAAAAAGAAGACCTCAAGTTGCATCTCCAATTGAAGATATAGCTTTGATGGTAACTTCTGGAAGGGCTTCCTTATCCTTCCATCAATTTGGTCGAACAGAACTAAGCATAAAATAAAAGAGGTCACAAAATACTGAATGTATATATAAACTGTATGTTTTTGTTGATGTGCATATATTGAAAATATGTATTGCCACTATAATATATTATTTTATTTATGGCAATCTCATTTTATTTTTATTGCATCTATCATGTATTCAGAATTTCAGATGCATATATATATTTTGTGTATCCAATGTGTTTGTCTGTCATGGATATACTTTATTTTATTTTATTGTGCAAAATATGGCATGTGCATTGTATGTTTATTTTTCTTTATTTTCCATGCCACTGCTTATTCACTATGTGTCTGTTGAGATGTATTGTATTTGTGTACTGTTGAATATTGTATCAAATGTGTACTTGTATGTGGCAACAAAACTACCAAGAGACAACTTCATCCATCAAAACTGGAACTCCATAAAAACTCCTGCATCATCTGTCTGGAAGAACAACAGTTACAGAGGATACCCAGACCATCAGAAGCCCTTCTCCACTTCAACAACAAAACTCACATCAAGTTTCCTCATCACAAGACAACAAACAGTCATCATCACAACCGTTTTCATCATGCTGCAACTCATCAAGAAGACATCAGTGAAATACCCCAATGATTTTGCCAGTGTATTGTCATTGAATGTAGGATTGTTCCCTCAATAGTTCAAAGGGGCTGTAAATTTCAAACTTTTCCACAGAAAAAGTTTAGTATGGTCAGGAACAAGGTTTCCAATAGTTTAACTTCAGAAATTCAGCATGAGTCAGAGAGTGGAACTGAGCAGACTGAGTAATCATAATGTGAAGATTTGGAATTCAAGGAGACTAAGATTGGAACTGAAAAAATATGGGATTTAAAATTACTTTCACACTTATGCACCTGAAAAAGCAAGCTTTTTCTTGTTGTGCCAGGTGATTGTTATTCCCTGCACTGATTGCATGAGAGTTCCTAGCATGTTGTGTCTCCTAGATTTGCAATAGTGCAAATGCATTTCACTCTGCTGTGCACCTGTCCTTCCAGTCGTGAAAGGGCAGGAATTCCATCATATATCTTCTGTCTTGCTTTGTTGCTCAACTGCTGCATTCCCTGATTCTCCCCCTCATGCTTTGGCCTCAATAGTGGTCATTGACCACAGGAAACCATGTTGCTAGCTGCCCCAGGCCCCTCTCCCTCCTAAGGAATGTGAGAGCGATGTGTTCTCCCTCTCCCCTGTCCCATAGTTGGTAAAAGCCCCTCTGGACTTGGAATAACAAGTCAGTGGTTAGAGAGCCCTCTTTGTGGAAAGAGTCCACATAGGTTTTCATGAGTGTCTTGCAATAATTGGTCTGTCAATAAAGTACATTGCTGTATAAGTGAAGTTGTATACTTCATTTTATCTGGTAAAGGCTTAAGCCCAAACAAATCAGAGCGTTAGGTAAAATATTTATCTGGCAATAAAAGGTCATCCTCTTGAAGGTTGGAGTTGGAAGGAAAAGCTTCCAATTCCCGGAAACCAGTTGTCAGATAACAATTCATATACCTTTGCCCAAGTTTAAAAAGTAATTATAGTTCAACATATATGATTGGGCTGCAATTTAGTTTCATCCATGCGCATTATTATTATTGTCTTAAGAATCATATTCCTCAATGATGATATTCCAAGAAGTATCATTTCCTCTGTAACAGCATTCTCCACTTTTTTAAGGTAGACATTCCTACCCCTTGTTTTCTTGAAAGCCTTTTATCAGGGACCCCTAGAGGTCGCCCGATAGAACCCACACACCTTTGCCACACAACAAGCCACGAACACCAAAATTGAATACCTAAAAACACACCTAGCCAACACTCCAAACAAGTCTTCCAAAACCGGATCCTTCTTCCTGAAGCCAAGATGAAATCCGCGGAAGAAACTTCACTTCATCTCGAACGTCGGCTGCGAGAACTTCATTTTTTTGTGCTTGATTTGTGAAACCTGTGAAATCATCAATTTATTAACAAGTGCGAAATAACATAGTTCCTGGAGACTCAGTCTCGGCCGCAAACGGCCTATCGCGCATTTCTTTCATTTCATTAAAAGTTTATTTTGTCACTGACCTAAGGGTCTCTGACAAAACAACTGGTGGCCAGTAAGTGTGTGAAGAACACTTCTGGCAAAGTTCAAACACCCTGAAAATTCATATCCAAGTGCACAAGTGCATCATAGCCCTAATTTCCAAGTGCTCACCTTTCAAATTCAAGTGATCTCCCACAAAGCACCCCAAAGAATTCAATTCCTACATTACATCCTTATACAAACCCCACAGTGCTACCTTTCCAATCCAACAAACTCGCTACCTATCCAAATTCATTCAAACATCCAGCACCATGCCACGCCACGGACCATTATCCTCCAATTCAATCACACGCACCTCTGGCGTATCACACCACACACCTCCAATTGGCAAAATTCCATCCTCTGAGGCCCTCAACATTCCATCCACGTCCAATCCACGCCGCGGAACCACATGTCGCCCTGGTCGACCACCATTACGAAGACAATCCTCCACACCACCATGATCTCCTTCCATTCGCACTGACGACACGTCCTCCACATCTGCTTCACAACGACCATACCACAGCATCCGCCGAACCACGAAACGCCTCCTCACAATTGCTCAGGCCATGGTCCTAGGAGACAGAACGTATACACAATCAGCAACCCCCAACACACAATCATCCTTTCGCCGAATCCACCGCTCCCTTATCTCTGCTTCAGCATACATCCTCAATCTACCTACGACAAATTGCAACATCCAAGAAGCCCAACAAATCCAACAACTCCAATGGGAACTCAACAATATTGCACTTCACACCCCTGACCAACTACACACAAACTGGCTCACACTACGACCTATGCAACACTTCATCCTTGGAGTTCAATTTCCTGTTTTACAAACTAACCCAGTACCTATCAATGCCTCCTCCGCACCTCAGCCTATACCACAAGACCCACCTTTGTTGCAAACACAACTACAACAACCACCTCCTCAACTCAGTAACCCACCTACATTAGACGTCTTCCAACCCAGCGTCATCAGCACACTCAAAATGGAAGAAGACGCCGATCCATATCCATCTGCTGTCCTCAGTTACGCCACCGGAACTCGACCCTCCCAGACATCTGAAAAATACGTCACCAATTATGAGAAACGTTCAGCACTTCCAAACTTCAAACAGTTTTCTGGACTACCAAACAGCACCTACACATTCAAACGCCTCTGGTCACATTTTAAAAATGTACACATCCTTCCACGTGACTACATCACACCCACCGAACATATTCAACTATTCCTATGCCATCTCAGTGACCGCGCATTTGACATTATTGGGGCGGTGTTTCTGTTTTGTTGTCTTCTTCTGATAGAGGCGTATGATGTGTGTGATATGGTTGTTATACCGTTGTAAGTTAGGGAAACAGAACGGGAGATGTTGGTTAAATGCCTGGAGGTTGGTTGAGCAAACACACCTAACGCACTTGCAGACTATCTTGAGGACATCATTTACACACACTATACCAACAATATGGCAACATTCAATCCCTTTGTCTTGCCCTCTACAACCAATTTACGGACCTCCAACCAACTGCAAACACACCTAACGCACTTGCAGACTATCTTGAGGACATCATTGCAATCACCGAACAATTAAACAATTTACAAACTAACATGCCACAGGTTCATACCCGTTTTTGGCCTCACATCAAGTCCTTCCTACACCAAGCCGCGCATTGGACCAATGTCCGCTTAGAAATGCGATGTCACCAACAAAATGACCCCGCCGACACCAACACATGGAACGAATATCCTGAAAATAGATACAAATGGATCAAAACATACCTTTGGTCCAATGACCCTGCTACAGCCACCGTTAACACACTTACATTCCTTACCCAACCCTCCTCATCATCAAACAAAAACAAAGATACATCCAAGGAGCGAAATAACCACACTGAAACCTCCAACCGCACCAAACAATCCAGAAATTCCAAATCACCAGATCGCAACCAACGCCGGCGCTCCTCACCATCGAGACGACGATCCAGAACACCAACCCGTAGACACCGTTGTCAATCTCGCAGTCGCTCCAGATCACCACATCGTCGATCTCGCCAATCCACCTATTCATCAGCCAGAGAACAACACACATCCAATAATCAACGATACAGCTACAATTGCCCCTTTTGCAATGCTGCACACACAT